TCAGTCTTGATACAACCTAATAACTAAGCTCTATTTACAATGAGATTGAAGTAGAAATATGATTTTCTATTTATAGGGTATCTAAGCTGGATAGCTTTAGTTGTCAACTTGCCACACCTGAGAAGGGGGACCTTCAATTATGGAATTTTCTCCCTCAGATTGTCCTATGGGCATGTTTGTGAGTCATTTTCTTGCTTGTTGAGTGATGTGGGAAGGCCCAGCCCAAGTGGATGTCACCATATCAAGGCAGGTGGCCCTGGGTTGTATAAGAAAGCAGCCTGAGCACAGGTAAGGGGGATGAGTTGGTAAGCAGTGTTCCTCTGTGGTCTTTTCTTCAGTTCTTGTTCTCCAATTTCCCTGAATGATGGACTGTCACTTGGCACTCTAAGACAAAACAAACCCTTTCTTCCCTAAGTTGGTTTTGGTCAGTGTTTTATCACAGCAACAGAAAGCTAATTAGGACAGTTTTGTGGTTCTTTTTAATTGTAGATAGGTTCTCTCTGCTGAGTAGAATGCAGATACATCACTAGAGCACTAAAAGCATCATGAACAAAATATTAACAACAGAAACAGGAACATCGAGATAGAAAGAACATGAGGTGTAACGTGAAGAAGATGCCAGTCCAGCCTTGGATTGCCTATTGTGTGTGTGTGTGCATGTATACGTATATATACATGTATGTATATACGTATATGTTTGTACATATATATAACTGTTGTATTAAATTTAAAATGAGATTCTGCTTACTTGGTTTTCTATCACATGCATCCAGCCACCACTATCCATTTAAATTCCTAAAAGAAAGGTAAATCTAAAAGGACTAAATTGGACAGTCCCTTTTTAAAATTGTTTTTTGATTCTTATATTTAGTAATTCCTGTCCAAGAATATATTTTTTCCTGCTCAGTTCCTCTCTCATATTCTGTGTTATTCATCACTTACAGCCCACTGTCACTCTTAGTAACATGTAATTTTATTTTAATATGTATGTAATATGTTGTTTTTTTTTAACTTGTCTTAATTGTCTACATATAGCCATATGTTGCTTACCAGTGAGGATATGTGCTGAGAAGTGTGTCATCTGGGATTTCATGTTATGATAGCATTATAGAATGTACTTATACAAACCAAGATGGCTGCAGTGCCACAGGATGAAGTAATATCATGGGGCCACGGTTTTAAATGTGGCCCATAGCTCCCCAAAGCATTGATATTTAGCACATGACAAGTTATAATCTATTTGAGGCTAGGGTCCAATTACTTCTGAGAGTCACTTACAATTTCTAAGTCATTACTGAGAACACATGAAGTAGTCAATAAATACTTAGAGCATTATAGTAATTATTGATGTTTGTTGTCAGAGTTCGCATGAAACTTGTGTATGCCGACACTTTTGCCATAGAATCATATGAGCAGGTTCCCAGGAGCAGGTTCCCATATGGTCATGCCCATCCTCCTTGACTCTTAACCCAGCATAGAACTGAATGAACAGCAGTCCCCAATCTTATCTAAATAAATGTTGGCAACTGATTGCTGCTAGATAATAAGAACTGATCTTCCTAAAACAAGGGACTCTGGATAGGCTGACTAGACTCAGCGGATGGACTTGCACTGGGGAACAGTTGGAGGCACTGACACAACACAGTGGGCAGTAACAGGGATGACAGAGTATATAGGCTCCAATGGTGGTAGTGAGGCTATGGGAGAGTGCCATTTGGGATGCAGATATAAAGATGAATAAGATTGTTTGGGAGGTTCTGTATGAAATGCACACAAAAAATCAATAAAAATTATTGATGTTTTCTATCAATGTAAAGTATTTATAATGACAAAATAGTAGAAAATGTATGTGAGTTAAAGAGAGAGGGAGAGAATGTATTCTTGTTAACATGTAAGGCAGATATTTATGTTCCTGTTTTAGAAAGAAAACAAATCAAAATGGTTCATCATCTGTGTTCTAGAAATTCTAAGATGCTCATCTTGGGAGAAAGAGCCAGAATCATGCCAGCCTTCAGCACTTACGCAGGCCTGCTGCAGTCTGCTATCTTTAAGTCATGGATACCACTCTGTTTTTTTCTTCTCTGTGTATGGAATAATCTCAAATGGGGTCCCTGATACCTAGAAACTGACCATTAAAAAACAGTGATGTGATAATTCCTGCAGAGTTAAGAAATAATTATCACATTCTCCTGAGGCATTCCATTCAGTCAGACAGGAGAGGCTTAGCTACTGGCTGCTTCCCCTTACTAGTGTGGAGTCATTACTGCCAGGTGGCAGCCAGCATTGCTACCTGCTGGGCATCACCTATTCACCAAGTGCAGTCCAAGTGCTTCCATAGGTATCACAGCAGCAGGCCTTGATGTCATGTATGTACATTGTATACAGCCAGAGAAACTCTGAGTCCCTGTCATGTAAAAGATTTACAGAAACCCCCTCACCTTCTCCCAACTTTATTCTAGCATCAAATATTATTACTGTTAAAAGCTACTAATTTTATTTTCTCTTTTACTGTTTGTATTAGCTCATCACCAAACAATGTTTCTAAGGGAAAAGGATAACTTAAAAATGTTCTTTATTCCTGCTGTACCAAATCTACCCCACAATTTGGTATTTTCCACCATATTGTTTAGTTCTCAGTTTGTAGCTCTTGTCTTTGATGGCCTCTAATATTTCTTTCCATGCTCTACTGTGTTGTGAAACTTCTTATTTTATCACCAACTCAAAATGAATGATAACAGGCAGTTTTAGTGTCAGACATAAATATCTGCCCCATCCCTTTTCATTACTAACCTAAGAGACTGGGGGGAAAACAGATGGAGCATGAAAGTTCATCCTAAATAATGAAGTAATCTTGTTTAGTGCATACTTCCTAAAAAGATAACTGAATTTATTGTCCTTCCATTGAAAATCAGAAATCTTCTGAAGGAAGCAGTAAAATTTCAACCATTGCACACTTTTGATATTGTGATATAAGATGAGCCAATTTTCCCTAAACCGACTTTTCATTAAAGAGGATCCTTAAAAGAAGATCTTCAGGTTCATGTCATCATTTTCTGTTGCAGGAAGCCACTCCACTACAAAATGCTAATATGCCAGTGGTACCCAGTACCTCTTGTATATAGGTTATTGCAAATACTGTTCTGAAATGCCTAACTTCAAAAATTACATTTTTTAAAGTAAATAATTGTTTGAAATCTATTTTGTAAAGATATACAATAGAATTTCTGGAGTACAGATTAAACTATTTGCACTAAAAAAAAAAAGAAGATCTTCAGACTAGGGCAGTGTAAGACATAAGAAATAAACAAACTCTATAAGTAGTCTTCCATAAGTGAAGAAGTACTCAAGCCCAGAAACCCATCAATGCTCCAACGTCAGCCAAAGACAACAGACTTTGCAGGGTGATTCCCCACATTCTGATAAGCTGAAGCTACTTTTCACTTCCATACATAGTCAAACTTTCTGGATGTTATGGAAGGAGGCATACGATTCCCAGATTTCGAGTGCCATATCAGGAACCGTGGCCTCCACTGATTGACTCCTCAGCAGAGCCTCGTACATGTGCAAAGTGGTTCATTTTCTAGTGGGCTTTGCGAAGCCTTTTTAAGATGTTCAACTGAGAAAAATGTTACAGAAAAAACGTGACTCTTTAGAGAGTGGGGCTGAGGTGATCTGCATTCAAAGGGTGTTTTATTTTAGGATGGACATGATTGAGCCTGTAGTTTAGGTAGAATCTGCCACATTTCAGTCTAATGACTGCCAACTCTGCAGTGGTTCAGGGACCAAAGTTCTCTACCCTACTGACTTTCCCATCTCCCAAGGCCTACTGAATCTTTTTCCCAGAGAATAGAAGACCATGGGAGGTGGCACAGGAAGTTGAGTGGGTGGCCAGGCTGACATGTCCCCTTGGCTGTTTGCCACATCTTACTAGCAAAGCAGAACTAACTACATGAGAACCTAGAAACATGAGCTATCTGTGTGCCAGAAGGAAAAGGAATAGTGAGCAGGTAGCCAACCTCCCACTACTACAGGAGGCTGTACAAAGCAGAGTATAATAAATAAGGAAGAATAGAACTTCTGAGCCAGCAGGAAGTGAGCTAGCATTGTTTGGAGACCTGACCTTGGGGAAAGAGGTAGAGATATCTAAGAATAAAAATGTAATGTAAGTGTTTAGAGGCATCCAGTTGGGGAACTCATGAGACAACAGATTCTAAAGCAAGAACAATCTAGACTGGAGTACACTGTATGTTGCATGACAGTACCCTGCTTAGAAATCAAGGTAGAAAGACAGCTGTGACTCCGTCTTTAAGTAAGCAGCACCCTCTGGGAAGTTCCTGTATCTTTCTGGATGAGAAGCCCACTTTTCTCTACACAAAGTCATTTCTAGTCATAGGAACTGAGTATCACCCAAATGAGGTTCCTTTTTCTGCTTCAACCATTCAAAGGATCATTGCGTTGGAATTCTCACAAAGGTCTGGATGAGTGGGGAAGCAGCCTTGTTGCAACATGGGTGATCTGGAACAATCTAACACAGATACCTGAGAAGTGGCTCTATGCATCCCTGGTAGGGGCCTTGGCACCTACTTGGAAGAATATCACAAAGTTTCCAGAGATCTAGAGCTGGGACTTTACATTTTTTTGAAAAAATATTTTTATTTATTACTTTCATTTCATATGTAATGAGTGTATTGCCTGTGTTGTGCAATACCCATGGAGGTCATGTGGGTCATGTGGGTGCTGGGAATTGAACCTGGGTCCGCTGCAAGAGTAATCAGTGCTCTTAACCACTGAGCAAACTCTCTAGCCCCGATACTTTACATTTTAACGTTTCTATTCCATTTGGAATGTTCTTTCTAGCATATTGCACAGATAATGAAACATTTTGTCATGTTCTGTGGTTTTAAAGACATAATGTAAGGTGATTGCTTGTTCTTCAAGCCTTATCTTCATTACTAGTTACTATGAAGACCTTGCAGTGACATAGACTTTATTTCTTGCAGTGGAAAATTCCTAGAGCTGGAAGCAAAGAGAGGTGTGTTTAATTTGCTAGTAACTGGCTGCCTGGACCTGAGAGTCTTGTCCCATCTTCAGCACTAAGTTTTATGAGCTGTAAGTTGCTTTCATTTTGTTAATATTGATCATTGTGAGTACATGATTGCAGCTTCCTTTTAAGTTCTGAGGTTTCTAGGTTCTAGGAGGTATAACTAGTGCAGCGTTTAGACCAACATGTGTTCATGTAAAGATTTAAGAGTCCTAGACATGTACTGCCTTGTGTTATCAGCTTTATTCTGGAAATAAAACTCTTTCCTCACAATGCAGAAATGAAAAATATTTTGAAACTTGTGTAAACTAGTTCGTAGTAATAATATAATAGATATGGATGAAAACTAAATTTATAACACAGAAGATAATACATGTTTATGTATTTAAAGTAATGCTTGTTACACAGCGCACAATATGGGTATATATTGTCATACTTATTATTACTGTATTGAACACTAGTTCTTCACTGGACTAAATATTATATAGTTATATACCAAAATGAATAGAAGCACTTCAGAGATGAAGTTATATTTTAACAGAAATTGGAATGAGTTTCAAGGTCCTTCATTTTGATGTGCTTTTAACCTTCTCCAAGGATATAAATAAGTATTTACTGAAATATTTTTCTCCTTTGGGAAAATCAATGGGAATGACTAAAAATACTAAAATTATATATATTTCCAAGCAATACATTATATTTATGCTTTTTAATTCTACAGTGAATCACATTTTGTTGATCTGTGAAACTTGTTTTGAGTCCTTGAATGTCATCATGATCACCTTTATTTTCTCATTTCTTACTCCTTAATCACATCCTTCATCAAGTCTTCAGTATTCAAATGTGGTTTAAAATTTTTTAGGAAGGTACAATTTTAGCCTTGATTATATGATCAAAACATGGCATTAAATATTTATTATGACATCATTATTAAGATATTTAATCCCTATGCAGAGAGTGTTTAAAAGTATCCTAGTTTTACATAATAATATCAGATTATTGAAAAGGTTTCAAGGATAACCAAATTCAAAACAACACTTGGATTTTAGCATAAAAGCTTTTCATATCAGGAAAGCAAATGAAGGCAGTATCTTGAATGAGAACAGGGCAGGCGAAAGAATTAGTGAGCAATAACAAATTCTACTGACATACAAGAATTGACCATGACATAAAATTAGGATAACAAAATGTCAGTGTTAGAATTGAACTAAGAGAGCAAATAGTAAAAAGAGTTGTTGGGTTTTTTTTTTTCTCCGTGAGGCAATCAAGATCCAGAGAGCTTTAATGGTTCAACAATCCACATCACATCAGTAGCACCCTTAGATGTGTGGGACGTCTGAATGCCGGTCAATTTCTTTTTCATCTTGCATGCCTATAAGCAGAAACTCATGGCTGAATTCCTGTCCCAGCTCTAACTAGTGGTTCCGGGGTTTCTGTCCCATGAGTAAAATGATGTGCCTAGAGCAGGCAAATGCTTAGGCATTTCATAGACCTAAATTATTGTTCTGATTCTCATCCATGGTTGATTTTTCTTAGTCAAAGAGTTCAAATCTTTTTTCTTAGACACAGTTTAAGCTTGTGATTTTGGAACTGTATGAATATGGTTCTCTTAATCATCAAGGCATTTTTTTTTCCTAAACACTTAAGCTGATGCAATTTTCAGAAATTTAGAAAACAAATTTTGCAATCATTTTTCCTAGTGATTGAAAAGAAGGTAAGAGAACAGATAAAAGAGGCGTAATTACATGGTACACTTAGTCAACAACTGTACAGGGAAAACTATATCATGCATTTAAACTATCTCAGAATTCATTATGATGTGGATTTACCTCTGGAAGATCCATATTTATTAGGAGACTGACAATATACCGTAGTTAACAGCCTAATCTCTAGGAGCTGACCTAGATTCCAACTCTGGCTCTTCCACCTCCAAACTGTACGACTTTCTCCAGACTTCAGGTTTTGTTTTTTTTTTTATATAGGAAGTGGAAATAAGAACATGCTGATTTCAAGAATAAACTGTGATAATGTATTTAGATGCATTTATTATCATGCTTAACATGTGATACTTTAGAAATGTTCTTGTTGAATAACTAGTTCCTCACTGTACAAGCTGTTAAATAAATTGTTTGCAGACTCCTGTGTATAAGGAAGTGTTATCGGTAAGGAAAATGGAACAAGTAGCAAATCATAGAACTCACAAAGCCATGACTGGATGCACCAGTGTTTGCATAGGCAGTTACCAGGTCAAGCTCACTGAGCTTGTTCCTAAACCAGCACTCTCAGATAGCAGTCTATTGAACCCTTCCCTAATACATATACTCCTGATTTTCTCTTTTATATGATGAAGAAACTAAGTCTATATGGTAAAAATGAAGTAATAAAGCAATTTAGATATCGCACATGATTCTCGTTGCTAATTCACAAGACTCAGAAAATCATCCACAGAAGCTTTTGCTTATTTGCCTGAAGGACATTATTCTTAGCCTTTATTTTCTAGTTACTGTATTAATAGTGAGGTTAAGAAAAACTATCTTTTCCAAGTTAACTAAAAAAATGTTATTCTAGCTGATTTTATGTTCATTCATAATATTTGTTCATGTTTTTACATTTGGCCACCATAAAAAGATTTGGTAATTTTAGTAACCTTTATATAACTTATTTTATCATGTATATCATTTGGGTAATAAAATACTTGGTAAAAGGATATTGCTCTACCATCTGGGTTTTCCACTATCACATAGATGGTACAAAACTGGAGCGATGTGATAAATAAGACACAAATCCTAATCTCTATGATAGACTTGTTTCAACTAAGTGATATGGTTCAAAACAAAGCACAGAACACTTACACCTGTGCTTCAGCTTCCATGTATACTCTTAGAGAAATCTCAAGCAAGCACAGAAGACTGAGACATATGAGATTAGACAGGTATTGAACATATTGCACTCTTAATTCTATACATTAGCTGCAATCAGCTTTTGGAATTTAACATATTGTCATAAAAATTGTCACCACAGACTCATGAAGTGTCCTTATCTCTATATGTTCAGAAGTAATTTCTCCACAAGCCATGTTACTTATTAGTCACTTTCTGAAATAGAACTGCAAAGTCTGGGCTGTTGAGAAGGCTCAGAGGGCCAATCCCAATGACCTGAGTTCAATGCCTGGGACTCGTATGGTAAAATGAGAGAACAGAGTCCTAAATGTTGTCTTCTGACCTTCACATGCATGCCATCGGGCAAGTGTGCATACATGCACACACACATACATATGATAAATAAATTAAATAAAATATAATATTTAATATTAAGAAAGAACAGCAAAGTCCCAGTTCATTCCACTATGCCTTGCTTCCAGGATGAAGTGGATTTCAATCTTCTATGGGTATCTTCTTCTTCCACTATATAGCTCAACTTCTTGTTGATGAATTACCACATCTGGAGCTATTTCAGCTTTTTGCTTGCGTTTTACTTTTTGCACTCCTATAAAAGCTGCATTCCAGGAAGAAACATAGGCTTTTATTCAGACATAAAAATAGGCTAATGGCAATGACAGGGATCACTGTGAAGGGGGAAGAAAACAAGTGATATTGCCAAATCTATATTAGGACTTACAGTCTTCATTAGAAAAGAACTCAAGCATAGCATGTGATAGAAGATACAGTGTGGGGTGATGATGGATTCCATTCACCATATGGTGTGTGACTACATCCTGTTTCCTCGGGGAATGCACTGACTGTGAGAATGGAATCCTTCAAAGGCGTATTGAATAATCATCTCGGTTTGAATAGATTTTGATCATACCAACATGCACAATGACTCAACAAGGATAATGAAATCCCAGACTCTAAATGCAAGTTGCAACATGTACCGTCTCCTCACTTCAGGCAAACATGATCTATCAACACCATGAACCTCCCAATGCTATGAACATTGGGGATAACATGGAAAGAACCAGTGCCAAATGCTTGTGAATTGCTGTTTTTACAATGATAACAAAACTTCATATTTTCATTGATAATCAGAGGTACAGATATTAAAAAGAAAAAAAATTTCTTTATGTGGAATGATTCAACAGCATTATTAGAATATACTAAAAAATCATAATTTGGAGACATTTACCTACATGGATTTTAGATAAAAAGAAGAGCAATTTAATCATGATTCCTAAAGGAGCAAATGGGGCATTGGAATAGAAGAAGAACACCTCTGTAAGAAGCAAACAAAACACCACTAATGGCTTAATATAGAGAATGTCTGCTTATCTATCCATCGTATGCAACAATGAGGAAGTGTGTTTCTTTGGAGCTAATTATTATCAAGCATGCAAGCTGTATTTAAAATGTAGTTTAAGGACACCATGAAGAGATTAAAGTAACATAAGGATATCCTTAACAATTAATGTTTTTAAGACTTGTCTTCTTAATTTCAAATTTTAAGAAGTTTTATTTTAATCAGGGTATTTAAACTCAGGAATCCAGCAGCTTTGTTAAAGTCTAGGGCTGAGACAGTGTAGGAATATTTACCAAAGAGTTTCTGAAACTGACACAGTGAGGAAATAATCTTTCATCTTCCCTACTCAATGGCCTCCTTTGCTGGGACATGTTAATTATCTACAACTTTTTGAAGGAACAAATACTCCAGCCATGCTTCTTGGTGCAGAACACTACTGAGGGATGACTGTCCTCTTGTAGAAAGCTTGATTTATTCTTTTCAAGTGTCAGTTTTCTACACTGGACTATTTCATTTGATTCTCAAAATAATCCTAAGAAGTAGGTAAGATTAAGTCTGCTTTAAATATGAAATTTAAGTGAAAACAATTTGAGATACAAAAAAAAATTGTCTGTGACGCCAACAAAGGTTCAGTTCTAGATCTCTGTGATTCTAGACACTATCACTTAAATGTAAACATGTTGCTATATATTAGAGATCATTCTAGATTCTGGAATAATCTTATATACCTATTGCCAGAATTCTGATAATCTAATATTGTTTTCTGTATACATGCATATACTAAAAATAAGATTCCATTTATGTGCTTCAAAGTAAATCTTAAAGTGCTATG